AATGATTCCTCGGTAAAGACCCTTGGCAAACCTAGAGCTTGTTTTGGAATATGTTCATGTCAATTGTTTTGTCATGACTATTCAACTGCGTGGTTTCAAATCTAAGATAACCCGAATGGAGTAAGATGCTTATGGGTTGGATTTGCATCTGAATCCAAAAACGTGCACTGCAAGAGGCCTTACAAACCAGAGCTGACCCACCTCCCTCCAGCCCTGTTCGCGTGCCTCCCTGCCAATGACCCAGAGTCACCATAAAACGAGCCGCGCAGAAGTGCCGACAAACCCAGTTGTTGCAGCCTCTTGTTCTCTTGCTGCGAAGAAACAAACTGTGAGGCAAGGAATGCCACGGCCAAAACGTTCTGGTCAGTGCTAGGTGGGTACAGTCCAAAAGCATTCGCACATCTTTGATCTGCCACCGGAAAAGAGCTCTGCAATGAGCCATGTAGCGCGGATTTCGGGTCAGCGCCACTATGTTCAGGCCTAACCTACCATAAAACAAACTGCCCATCGTTGAGGCCCAAGCTGGATCTCCTCTTCTTCGTCCTCGGCGCCCTGAGGAAGTCACGTGGGGTCAAGGTCTCATGGGCTTGGAAACCAGGGAGGGGAGGGGGAGGGAACTCAAATTACTCGCCCGTAAGCCCTCCCGTAAGCCCTAAAAGCTCAGACTGAGTTGACCCAGCGCTTCCAAATCCTAGACCCCCTACAAGTCCCACGCCGCTCTCAAATTGCTCAAATTGGTCAACCTAGTTCCCGGAGCATAGCCATAGACACACACACACACACGTATCTGGAACCCGAAAAGCCGGTCACTTTTGGGATCGGCATCTCCTTTTGGCAGAATGTGGTCCTTCCGTTAATGTCCTGAGTAAATTTGCCAAACACCGCCACTTGAACACAGGGAAAGCAATGGATGATGGGAAGCCAAAAAGTGCATCCCTCTGACCGATTGAGAGCCACAATCACGGACTGCTACATGAAAATGAGTGTTTCTCAAAATGGCGGACTTTTGGTTGGCATTTAAATGGGGGCACTACATGGAGAACCCCGCTAACAGGTACTCAACCTAGCGAAAGATTAGGCCGATCGCACAAGCCCCTCAGTGGTCAGCGCATTACTCGCGCAAACAAAGCTTTGAAGTTCATGTATTGGAAGCATTTTGTATAATCAGCATGGAACACCTGAAGCACTGCAACAGAATATGTTGTTGTTCAACCATTCCACCAACACCTCTTGCTCCACCAACGCTCGCGCCTGTCGGTTCCAAACAAGAATCAGGGGACAATGCTTGGCCACAATGTCCTGCACAAAGCCCGTTCCCCAAACTCGGCCCTGTCTAAGGCCCAGGCTTTGACATTGGTTTCGCTGTGATCGCCAAAGGCGAAGGGCTCCTATGGGAGCTCCGACGACTGAATAGGAGTGCAAATGCTGGAAAAAGCGGAGCGCTGCACTTTGACCGAAGACTGTCATCGCCCATCCAGTACAGGACATGTGCATGCGGATGCGCACTCCTGGACCGCGATTTCAGCCGAACCACGCGACTCCTGAGCAAGGCTCAGGAATTGGCACGCAGCACGTTCGAAGAGACCCCAAGCCCAGAAATAATGGATCAAATTTATATGTTCCTGCTTGATTTTCAGCGGTCTCCAGAAGAACCACCCGTTGAAGCACTAAACCGAACAATTGAGTCCTCCCAGGCAATAAACAGCTATTAAGTCCGCTGCTCAACATAAAGTGGCTAATCCTGGGGCCAGTTTACCTTGAGCCTGGAGTTCACGCATGGCGAGTGCTCATTTGCGGCCACTGGACGGGTCCCAAAACCAACAAGCACGCAGCTTCGACATCACTGAGGACAGTTGATCAAGCATGATGTTCAAAGATGTTCAGAGGCAACTGCAAGATTTGAAATGGAGCCATTATCATAAATAATGAACCAATGGATGAATGAATGAATGAATGAATGTATGAATAAATGCATGAATGAATGAAGTAAATAAATAATGGACAAATAAACAAATGAATTACACCGACGTTGGCATCATCACCATGGCTCAATCATTATCATCACCCGCACCATCGCCATCACGATCATCAGCAGCATCACCAAGACCATCACGATCATCAGCAGCATCACCAAGACCATCACATCAGCATCATCGTCATCATCATCATCCTACCACCATCACCATCATCATCATCATCATCATCGACCATCAGATTGGCTGAACCATCATTCCAGAAGGATCACAAAATGGAATCATGGCCCGATTTTTCTCACATATGAGTTTTTCCTGGCGCCCCCCCCGTATAGCGGTTTTCCTCTTGTCCAGCTCCGCATCTACGGTCAGGGCCTCGGAATTCGAGCAGAAGCCATTGAGAAAGCGACCTCCGTGGACGTCAAGTCAGCTGGAGCTGGCATCGGGCTGCCAGCGCCTTTTCACCATGCAACAGGGATCCTTAAGGCAAATTGTGGTTTCCCTTTATTTTGGTGGAAAAAGCCATGTTTCAAATGGGCAAAAATATATTTTAAGAAGCCTGTTCAAAAGAGTCCTCTTAGGCATCCCCCGCAGCTAACCAGGAACCTCAAAGGTCAAATCGAAGCACACGGATATTAAAAACGATCCGGGCAAAGTGCAACCGGCAGGTGGCAATTCAGCCAAACCAGTGTCGAAATTGTAAGCCTGCCATGCTCCCCCCCCAAACAACAAATATATACAAAAACATGGGAAAATGGGAACATGCAACAATGGATCCTATGCCGAACACCCCCCCCATTTTGTTCTAGCGTCTGACGTCCTAAAATCCTCAAGCAAAGCCTCCGTCAGCTTTCAGGATTGGACATGCCAAACCCAAAAAATCCGAGGTCCCGGCCGGTGTCGGTGGGGGCATGGCAACAGGCCTGGGCCGCTTTATGGTCGAACAAGATCTTTTTGTTCCTTTGTTAAATGTTTTCCCAAAGTATGATCTGCAAAGCAGCATGCAAACCAACAAGAACTGTCAGCTTTCTCGACTAGGTCCCCTGTACAGAGGTTAGAATAAGGATGCCAACTTCTTTCTGTAGTCTATTTAAGTAGGGGAACCCTCCCCCCAAAAAGGGCAAACACGCACTACTGGGGGACCTAGTTGTGCTGGGCTGCCCAAAGGTTATGCTTCGTGGCCAGTTGTAATTAGGTAACTCGAGACTCGCTGAAAGCCGGCCATGAGCAGTGCCGGACTGTGCTCCACGCAGGGACGCTGCCTTGTTCGGCCATGAATTTATGCCCCCAGTAGGCCTGAACCACATTTGGGTGAATTTGTACAACCTGAGATTTTAACTGGTTTATTTGGTAACAGTGACTCTCATGACTCTCGCGAAACATCTGCTTGCCTCCTTGCTGAAGGGAAGGAAGTCCTCTTGTTGCAACCCAAGCGCTAGCGTGAGGAGGGATTGGCAAGGATTCAGCGATCCCCCAAAAAGATCCCATCAATCAGCGAAGCTCATGCAAACACCAGCACGCACTTTGGAAACCCGCAACGCATGGCCAAAAATGCTATCAACACTCTGAAGTGGAGCCAGTCAACAAAGTGGATCGTTCATTGAGAAAGCCCGACACCTCCATCAACCATGGAGGGGCAGCTGCTTTTTGAGCAGGGTTTCCTATGCTTTTTCTCTCAAAACATCACCCCATCAAGGCTGAGGTCCCAGCAGCGGCGCACACAGCGTCTTCCCTGTGAACCGGCCTTGGCTAGAAGAACAACCCCCCATGAAACATGTCATAACATGTCCTCAATCCTTTTCCTTGCAACGTGAGCCCCCAAAACACGAACAGTCACCAACATGATTATATTCTTGTAGACCACTTCAGCGGTGGACTGTTGGCTACAACCCAAATGTACTAAAACAACTGCTGCAAGTGCATATCAGTGTTTCTGGGGACTCGAGGTATGGCTGAGGCTGCGTTGGCTGTGTGAAAAGCAAGTTCCCGTGTTTGCAAACCAAAACGGTTTTATGCAACCGCCCCTCTATTGGAAAGCAAAGCAAATGCTCCTAATTTGCTAATCAACGAAATTGAAATGGTAGCGCTGACAGAATGATGGCAGCAAGGCTAAAGAAAACACCGCAGTCGCAGCAGTTGTAGCAAGCTCACAAACGATACCCACCAAACATACACGTGTCGCCCACCAGGTTTTTCGGGTTGTTGGGGTTTCGGGCTGTGTGGGTTTAGGGCACGTCTTGGCCGAACCGATGGGTAGCAGCAGCCGCACCCTTGGCTTGTTGAGCCGCCGAGCCTCAGCTCCGGTCGCACCGCCCCGAATCTGAGCGCCGGGGCTCAGCATGTCATCCCATGGCCTGCGAGTGGCCCCATGCCGTGAAACGAACCCATCCTGTATAACAAGACTCGGCATGTGGACACACGGAACCAGACAAACACATTTAAGAATCTGCAAAGGGTAAACTATGAACATGGCATGCTCAGCTACTTAGAAAGCTTGGCAATACCAGCCGTTTCCTACTCTCGCGAACCAGATCGAGATGACATTGCCGCAAGCGGCTAAAAGCACAGAACATCACAGAACGATTCAAGCATATCCCTGAAGAATATCTTAAACGTAAAACACTAATGATCCTAAGGCTAAAATCCCGCGCTCCCTGTCTGAATCATTCCATCTCATGACGCGTGCCAACAACAGGTTGGAAAGCGGCTTTTCTCCAAGCATCAGCTCAGCCATGCGGCACACACCATCTTCACCCAAGTGAGACCAGACTATGTCGAGTTCATTGGGGAAGCAATGGCTGCATTGCTTGTGGCCCGGTCCAGGCACAAGCACAATGCTTGCCGCTCTTTCACCACTCTTTGGCAGTGTCTGCGCAATCCGACGGATGCTACCAGCATGGACAGGGTTGTTTGCATCGTCTCCACATGAAAGAAGTGCATGGGTAGCAAAACAACAGGGAAGAGTGATAGATATGCGCAAGTTCAGTGGCCAATTCGGGCGCGCCATGAAAAAAGGACCTTCTTTTTGGGATAAAAACAATCCGCGTCGCAGCCGGTCACTGGGCCCTCAGCAACACTTCCAGCCCCCTGCCCTTGGACTGGGGATACACCAGGCAGCAGGTAGGCCCGCCTCACGACAGACGGGGTGGTCTGATGGGGAAGGGATCAGCGAAAATGGCCTCACGTGGCAAAGCCCAAGCTGGTTAGCAAAGTATGCATTCCGGACATGGGAATAAAGCCAGGGTTATCACCTGCCAGGGGTTGGTGGACACAACTCCCCATCATGGTAAATGATGTCCGCCAAGTGGTCCAACCAATTCATCATCACCACCCCCATGCAAGGGATGTACTCTCTCTCTCCCTATCTACAGGCTGGCCTGGCGGCCATGGGAAAAGCTGCACCCCCGCCAGCTTGCTCTTCAGCTGTTCCAATCGCTCCTCCCAGGCCTGGCATCAGAACTAGAACCACGGGTGGCTAAAGCATGATGGAAAGTGAGTGTTGGCTTCATGTGCAGCTGCAGGTTTTTATAGCTCGTCGCGGTGCAAGTTTGTCTGTGATAAGGCTGGCGGTTTTACAGGAAGAACCCTTCGCAATGCTTTCGGGAAAGACAACAACATGCCCCGCCAGGTCAACGGTCAAAACTTGGAGAGGCCGACCTTTTCTGCTACCATGATTTCAGGGATCGGCTCTTTCTACCGTCTACCTTGGGACTTCGATCATTTTTCTGCCATTTCAGGACAGAGATGTCTTCACAAAACACTCATTGACCCAGGCCCGGGCTTAAGCCGAAGTCTAGACGCCCACGAGTCCTTCAAAAGAAGGCGCTTTAACCATTTCGGCCTAACCCAAGCCACCAATCCAAAACACCGACTAAAGGTTGCCTAACGATGCACGCCGAGTCCAAAAGACAAGAAGCCGTACTTTTTGGACCCTGGTTTCCATTTGATTTCCATTCGACACCTGATTTGCAGCATCGCGCAAAAAACACAGTTCAGCCTCTGCATCGCTATGGACACTTGGCCCTTCGCCCTGGGGCGTTCAGGTTCCAGGTTCATCTCCTCCTCCTCCTATTAATATATGCACCCAAATAAATCTGCTTTTGTGCTAGACCCTAAATCTCTACATTAGAAGTAGCAACTAAACTTAACACAAAGGAGTAATTTGCCGCCGACCCGAACTTCAGTCTTATTAGGGGACGTTTTAGAACCAATGCTCAACGAATGCTACACCAATACTAAGCCGAAATTAGTAAATGCTTAAACCAAATCAAAACCAGCGCCAAATCCAACAAGCATGGGAGGTTCCAAATGGAGGGTTTGCCAATCCCAATCCTTAATCCCTTGAGGGAAACCATTACAAGGGGCACCAACCCAAGGTAAGGATCTTGCGGATTGTCTCTGAAGAGCCCAAGCAAACCAATGACTTGGCTAAGGAGCTTATGTGCAATGTGCGCTTACCTTTCAGGTCATGTATTTTTCAGCTTTGACCGCGTTTATGGGCCTGGGCTTCGCGCTCATGGTCTCACAAAGACTTCGTGATTTCTGCCACTGGAATTCCCGGCAGGTGCTTTGGGGGGGGGGGGGGGTCGAAAGGCACCCCGTTGGCATGAGAACCCTAAGGGAGCCCGGCGAGTTTCTTCTTATCATGGTCGGGGGGATCGCGGGGGTATCTTTTATTAAGGTGACAGCAGAATTCATGGCAGATCTCTGGAACAGGACGTTCATCTGTTTTTTTTTCTTCGTTTTTTTTCTCCGGTTGACCACCCTGAGAAGGCTTCAGCGTTTTCAGCGCACGCATCATAAACCAGACTAAAGCTTAAAGCTTCTCTGCCACAGCAACCAAACATAGGAAGGTCCCGGCTCAGTTTCAGGGCAAACTATGCCACGCGTGACGCGCGCGTATGATACATGATACACCGACTTCGAGTCATTTTTTTGGGGCTGATGCTCCATGCAAACCCGGCATGGGCTAGTTACCCGAGCCGAGGACACGGCTCAGCTCGCACCAATCCAGCCTGAGGCAGGCGCACGCAGTGGCAGAACTCTCGCATGAGCTTGTCCACAGAACTGCGAATGGCCTGGCAACTGTTCCCATCCCATGCCCTGCTCGGGTTCCGGCCGGCACTCACGCAACGAAAGACCCGTGATGACCTTGGCCTCTTGTTGTTTGCAATTATATATTGTATATATATATATAAAAAAAAATGCATGTATATATATATATATTCAGATATATAGATATATGTGTATATACATACACTTGGACACATAGAAAGATATGCGACTATGCTTAACAAACAACAGTACATAAGTTCAGTCGATGAGGGCTTGAGCTATCTTCTCGCATCCTCCAGAGATACACAATCACAAAGTCCTTGGAACAGATTCCATCAAAGTTTGCTGGTAACTTGTTAAGATTTTGTTTGTTAGGAACTAACCAGAAACATATGGTTGCTGGTAACTTGTCAGGATTTGTTTAGGAACTTGCCTAGTTTCGGCCCGAAAGCCTCCCAGTGGCAAAACGGGGGACGGCGAATTTCGGGGAGGGAGCCATGGTGTGGAACAGCTGGATGGTTGCCCCGATCGCCGTCTGCCCTGGACGTGGCCAGGATCAATTCACTCAGGGAGGGCGCCTTCCTCACCGGTGAGCATCAGGGGCGTTTTGACATGGTCAAAGGTCAGAAGTGGTGCCCTGGACACCATGCAGCACCGTTGCACTGAATGCCCCAGACTCACCATCAGCAGGACCTTGGACACCCTCACTTTGAGCCGGTGCCCAACGCACACCATGACCTTTTTACCGATGGCAGCTGCATTTCGCCAACCTGTCCGGCCTTGGCATGTGCCGCATGGGCGGTGGTCTCTTCCAATCACGAGGCCACTCTGGCAGCCAGTCCCTTGGCCGGGCTCCAGCTTGACCGGGCAGAACTTCATGCAGTTTTTTGCGCAGTCAGTTGGTTGGTGCGGCACCGCTGCCACGGTACAGTTTGGTCCGACAGCGCCTATGCTACATGTGGGCTTGCAGCATTGCTCTCGGACCGGGCCGCGGACACCCCGGCCACAAATTCGGATTTGTGGGAGAACCTCAGGTTTCAGCTTGACGCCGTTCCTGACGGTCTCATACAGGTACAACATGTTCCAGGACATATGCAGGTCAATTCGGTCTCCTTGCTTGGATGAATGGTTGGCCACCTGGAATGGCCACGCAGACACCGCGGCCAAACAGGCGCATGGTCTGCGACCACCTGCTTTTTGGAACCTCTGGTGTGACTACAAAGCAGCCTTCGAGGACTCTTGCACTGCGGTTGATCGTTTTCGTTGCCTCCACCTGGATGTTGCTCCTGCGCTTCAGGACAACACCTATGTGGAAGTGGAGGCACCCGCCGAGGAAGCCCTTGCGACCTGGCACAGTGGGTGGAGACTGGGCCGAAGAATTGCCGATCAACTGGCAAAGCAGGTGGTCCGATTCGGAGCCTGCCACCCGTTTCGGGCGGACCTTCGCCATCAATTTTGTGATCTGGCTTCAGCAGCAGCACAGCCGGGACCCAATCTCAGTACAGCTCAGCTGGCTTGAACTTGCCATGGCAGTCTTTTTGTTTTGTGGTGCGCACCCTTCTCCTACTGCCACTCACACTGGTGAGCAGTGGCTTGATGCGCAGATGGCACCACCCACGGCAGGGCAGATCACTGTTGCGGGACGAGTGCGGCACATCCGCGGTCTCGTCAAAGCCTTGGCTTCCTTTTTTGCATGCGATTGCATCTTTGTGGGCGGCCTGGACCGATCTTTTCTTCGGGTTCACCCGCCTTTGCAGGGACTTGTGCTCACCATGAGCCGAGATTCGCTGACGGCCATTGATGAGGCCTTTGGGCGCTTCACCAGTAAGCGACCCGTCCGCAAAGGCAACGACCTTTGCCGTCCCTTTTGAGACTCATGACAGGTCGGCTGCACTGCGTCTCCGCCGTGCACCGGCCGCTGAAGACCGTTTGCATGTTTAGGAACTTGCCAGCCTGTCCCAAGTCATCAATTACTGAATGTCTGTGACTTTCTCTGGTGCGCAAAGGGTTTTTGGGCAAGTGAGCAACAGATGTCAACTCCGCTTTTTCTTTCAGAAACCCAGCGACTAGCGGGGCGCGGCTCGCGGGTCGCGGCGTGCCGCGCAAGCGAGTAAACCGAGCGCTGGCCTCCTCTGCCTGCGCCACGGAGCAGCGGCGGCCCCAAAGCTTCACCTCCAGTCGCTCGGCGATGACCTCGTTGGGGAAGACCACCTCCTGAGCGCAGCGAGGCTCCAGTCGCGAGGGGATGTCCGATCTCCCAACGTTAAAACATGTGTAATACGATTCCCTTAAGCAAGCAACCAAGCAAGGCAAGGCAAGGCAAGGCAAGGCAAGGCAAGGCAAACAAAGCAAGCAAACAAGAAGAAAATAATTACACAAACAAACAATGCAAACAAACAACTACAAAAGAAAAAGAGAAACACACAACCAAACAAGCAAGCACGCACAAAGCAAACAAGACAACCAAGCAAACAACGAAGCGGCCCGGGTGACCAAAATAAGGTTGTGTCTAGCGGGCGCTGCGAACCTACTGACTAGCCCTAACTAATTTGCACGGAAAGGAGCAGACCGTTGGTAAGCTTGCCTCCTGTCGGTCAAGTAATTGAGTGTTGGTGAACGTCAAACAAATGCTCCAGAAGACATTTCAAAACACTCCCCCAATAAGTATGCTCACTCGCAATCATCTCAATGATTCAAGCGCACGCCCAAGGCCGTAAAGGCAGCATCAGAAAGTCCGAGCCCTCACGTCAATTTTTCTGCCATCATGTCCAAGTCATGCTACCCTATGGGATCTCAGAATGTCGCTCCCCAGGCTTTTCCGTCCATTTCTCTGAAACCCATTAGTCTTTACAGCCCGGTATGCCGAACCCTCGCGCCAAGCGTCCGCCAAGCGGAACTGCTTGCGCACCCGCTGCAGCGTGCGCCGCGTGAGCTCGTGCAGGAAATCTGCGGAGATCCCGGGGAAGGCGACGATGGCGCGCGGCGGCAGGAACTCCTCATCCAAGATGGTGGGTTTCCCTATGGGTTCTATTGGCACATCCAAGTCCTAGTATGGTATCCTATGCTACCTAGCAATGCCATCGAGGTGCTCTAGCTGTTTTTCCAAGAAAACAAACACACTTGATGCTGGCGAGTCGTGCAAAACATCGCAACTCCCGGAGGATCCTCTCCCCCGAATTTAAAAAACCGTCCTGCCCGAATTATAACCTTCCCCCCAACTTTGTTGTTCGGGGCTGGCGAGTGTGCATGGGCAAATGCCTAACCAAGCTCGGACAGTGGGCCAGAACTGTTTCAGACTGCGTGTTTATCACTGGTATGCAGTGGGAATGCAGTGGGAAAGGGGACCCCTTGGATTTGCAGAAAAGTGTTCAAAATGCAATTTCGGAGCAACAACTTTTAACGAGAAGGAGCCCTTTATTCCGAACAATAAAACTCTGGCTTGTTTTCAAAAAAGACCTTCTGAAGCAACCCCTTGGAGACCCTAATAAGAAAAACTTGTCACGCAAGGCAACCCTTGGTTTGAGGGGAAAAAACGCTCAGACAACAACTTGAAGGTAAGATCTGATGAAGGGAACCCAATAGAGACCCTAAAGATAAAACCTTGTCACACAAGGTGGGTCAGCAGGGGTGGGGGGGTAGTATTGGGGGAAGGTTTGTTAACAGGAAGAATTTACTTCTTTGCTTGCGCATGGCCAGCATCGCACAAAGTGGCTTCCACCTACCGCAGAATCTTCTGGAATCCAACAACAGGGCCCCGCGTTATCCCCCCCTACTATGCGGGAGAGGGGGGGTTCGGGAGTCCCATCTAGTCTCCCCCCCCAAAAAAAAAAAAACGCATCAGTCAGAATGGGACCCCCCAAAACAAGAAGGAAAGCGTATCAGAATGGGATAGATGGAATTCCATCTGTCACCCCTCCCCCAATCAAGCTCATTTCTGAGGCCCCAGGAGACGGATCCCGCCCATCCTTTTCCAACCTCGAGATCGAGGCGCATACTCCGAGATGGGCCGTAGCTTCAGGCGCTTGCAGAAGTGGTTGCAGCGGTGGCTGGAGAAGAACTTCTTCACCCCCGCCTCGGCGGACAGACTTTTTTTGGAGGCTCGGGACCCGTTGAAGAGGGGACCCGTTCAAAGAGGGTCGTCGAGACAAAAGCATTTCAATTCCAGCTGGGCATTGCAAAGCTGATGGAGGCGGAAAGTGTTCTGAAGCTCGTTGGAACCGATAAAAGAGGGTCATCGAGACAAAAGCACTTGAATCAAAATCAAAACCCGTTGTTAAAAAAAAATGCCTACCCAGCAGCATGTAAAGAGCTAAGAAGGCGGCCGCGGCTGTCTATGGTTGGATTTGTGTGGCTCGTTTCGGTTCCAGCTGGGCAGTGCGAAACTGATCCAGATAGATCATATCTTTGTTCGTTCATGGACTTGGCGGTTGAGATATGGAGGGTTGGTCCAATCACCTGAACCAAAAAACCACGAGGTCCGTGGAACCTGATGCCAACTGCAAACTCTGTGGCAGCTTTGTGAGCAAGTCGCTGCTCGCCAAAGTGGAAATCCTGTTTGTGACAACGATGCGAGGGGCAAACAATTGTGTTCACACTGGCAATTGTGTTTCCCAAAGACGTGAATTCAAACGCAGAAAGCTGCTGAACAACAATACTCCTCAAATCCCAGGACCAGCATCAGCATTCTTTTCAGTGGTAGTGCATCGCAAGGCTTCCAAACATTCCCGCCTCCTTCCAGTCGCCTTCGCCGAAATATTCGTAGTTGCCATAGCGGCAGTGCACCTCAATCGACTCTTTCAAGCTGTTGTCGAGTTTCTGCGCGTCGGTTTCGTGCAGCCAGACCCTTGCCATCCCCGTGCTGCAAGTTACTGCCACTTCTGCCACGCCAATGCAAGAGCCAGTAGACGGGGGCCCTTTCATAGAAACCAGCTAGTAGCGAGCTTCATTGAACTCTTTGTATATATATTTACATCTGTATATGAATATATAAATATTACATTATATGGGTTTGTCTCCTAATACTGCAACGCTCCCAAATGGGCTCTCCTTCAAAACCATCCAAGAAGCTACACCCTCCCAAGCTGCACCCGCTCCGTCCTCCCTTCAGTTCCCGCCGATCCGATCCCCCGCCTGTGGGTCCGTGAGGTGCAACCCGGACTCGCCGAGCGCGTCGAAGGGCACGCCCTGGATGTCCACGACCAGCAGCTCGCGATGCGACTCGTCGAAGCTGAAGTGGCTGAAGGCTTGCGCGACCTCGCCTCAGAAAGGGCGGGCAGCGGCCTTCCGCTGGAAGAAAAGGGACCCGGTACCTTGCAGTGGCTTATCCCTCCAACAAACATAGCTGCGGGAGTGTGCCTGGAAGATCAGTTTCCTCTTAAAGGAAGCCCCTGATGAGTGCTAGTGGGAGGGAGGGTAAGTCCACTGGAGAAATGAGAGAATATGTCCAGTAGTGAGAGGTTCACTTTTAAAACCGGCCGGGGGAAATAGAAAACACACTTCTTATGCAAATGGATCTGGATACACGTTGTCCTTTTACATGGTACAAGCTGAGCGGCAGTGGCGCAAGTAGTCCTCCTTGTTCACAGAGCCGCCGTTGTTGTTGAACTTCACAAATGCCTCATCCAAAGTTTGGCGGCATGCATGCGCTGCGGCAATGGCAATTATCTGGCCACAGGTTGCCGAGCACGTGTCATAAGCATGAGTGTCCGTGCATGCACGTCCCAACCAGAACTCTGCTGTTGGCCTTGGTTGTTGTGCGTCCAGGGGTGAAGCTGCACAACTGACCACCCGCAGCACACACCAGGGAAAACCACCTGAGACAGTGTATGAAAAATATGGCTTGCTATGCAGCAAGGAGTACGCCTTTCATGTGGCGCTCCCCCATGAACACCTGTCTCACGCCCGACTCATCCTCCATCACATACAAGTAGTCCTGCCAGATTCACGCTGGTAGCTACAAGTCATGAACAGCCTGAATGGCCAACCTGGATCAATGGATTCTTTGTTTGTCTAGCCCCTGGTTGAGTGGAATGCCGGCCCTGAACCCTCGACCACCCACCTCCACCACTACAGGAGCCTGCCATGGACATGCCTCGCGATTCAACAACTCGCCCGACTTCACACGTAATTATAATGAACGACCAAGAGCTGTAAAGCTTTTCTAGCTATAAAAAGGCAATGTGTGCCAATACTAGTCGCTGCAATTTCACGCTCAGTCCTCGCGGAAGCCAAGCTTGTATCCTTGGCTGTGGATACTCGCAGCCCTGCCGGGTTCTTGTCCTTAACGGCTATTTGTTTGGGCGGCTGGTCAGCTTCGCGTAGTCCAAGGGTTGGCAGGTTTGCAGTTTTCAGCGTGTTCCACTATCGCCTGGAGAAGAAGTACTCGGTGCTTACGTTGTTGCTTTCCAAGAATTCAGGCGAACTCCGGCTCCCCAGCCGGCGCGGCGAATTCCCGCCCGCCCGCCCGCCCGCCGGCCCGCCCCGACGGCCCGCCCCGACGGCCCGCCCGCCCGCAAGGACGTCCGGGGCTCGATGTTATTTAGCACGCCGAGGCAGTGAGGACTGACAATGCCCCTTTTCAAAGAAAATGGTCTCGACGGAGTCATCTTAGGCAAGGTTAGGCAAGGTGAGGCAAGTGAATCAGGACAGCTTGACCTGCCCATAGGTGGCCTTTTGGAAAAATAGATGGGTTTCCCTGGCAAAGGAAACGACACCCATCTAAACCAGTGGAACCCATCTAGCTTTAACCAAACTCACCGATCAAAAGGACGCCTATGGGCATGCCTGTGATGCCAGAACAAGCTGCAACCAGTTTCACCGGGCGTCCTTTCTGCCGGAAGAGCTTGGCAAAGTGCCTGGCCACTGCCGCGTTGCGACAGAAGGGCTCCATGTCTGCCTGGTGCCAAGGGATCCATCGGGCACTTTTCTTATAAAAAACAACTGGGCCCTGGAAACATCAGTTTCCGCTGGCCCCAAGCAACCCTTCAATCATAGCTGTCCTTTTGGAAAAATGGATGGGTTGCCCTGGCAAATGGAATTAAGAAAACAATTCTAAACCAGTGGAACCCTTCTATTTTCAACCAAACTCACCGAAAAACACCTATGCATTCAATACTGAGATCAGCCTCCCCGAATTGCTGGTTTGAATTGGTGGTTTGGTCGTTTAGGGTGGTTTCCCGTCTACCCTCTACAAGAATGAAGGGGTCGAATCATGAAACCGTTTCAATGAAACCACCAATCTAAACTACAAACTAAACAGGGCGTACACCGTCACACACACACAAACGCACACACACACACACACACCTGCGCGCTTGCCCACCACCCCACCCCACCCACGCACGCAAGCATGCTCGCAAGCATGCTCGCACTCACGCCACCGTGCGCGCACACACACACTCACACACACCTGCGCGCGCACGATGACTCAGATCTGCCAAGCCTTTGTGTCAATCGCTCGTCTAAGCCAATGGCCACATAGGAAGGCCGCAAACACTTTCCAGGCCAATCTCCATTCTGCAATCGGCCCTTGAGAATGCGCAGCCTAGCATTGCTAAAACTTCACAGCAAAGAACAAAACATCAAACCGGCATTGAGCTCCTGGTACATGCTGGTGCACATGATGAATGTTGGGCATCCATGTCAGTGCCGTGATTGTTCACAGGTAGCCTGCCTGCGTGCTGGCCTTCACTTGCAGGGAGAAGGCGTCGCTCCCTTGGCTGGGTGCCTACACAGACCCATCTCAGTGACAGGTGTGGGGCCTTGTTACCCATCAAGAAAGTGAGAAAGGTCGCGTTTGACTAACAAACTGGCACAGCATCATTCAGGGGACCCTTTGTGGCATGAATAAGCGGACAGCTTGGCTAGCAAACAAGACCCCCAAGTGCATCACGATGCTTGGCTCTGAACTGCCTGCTCCGATGCTGCCGTCCCCCCATTCACAGAGATTGTGCTGAGCTACCGCGAATGGACGTTTATTTCGCACCACTTTGAAACCGTGGGAAACCGTTGTTTGTTTGTATTTATTTGCACCGCACGAAGACCCAAACCTTGGCGGAAAGGCGACTTTGCCCCGGCACGGACTATGCCAGGACGCGTGGGACCAATAGGTGCTTGGCGACCAGTAAAGTGCTAGAACCAAATAGTTGGTCGTACATGAAGCGTACGATGCGCATCTCCCCCTTGCTGAAATACCTCGGACTGGTGAGATTCAGCTTGACTTCCTTCTGGTGCGGATGCCCCGAGGTATTCTATTTTTCTAATACATACAAACAAATACATGCATTTATATATATATATATGCTCACCCCCCCCCCCAGGGCCTACCTTTCCACTTCAAAATGTACAAAACCCTCTTATTTTTAAAGACAGGGGGTGTGAGCATATATACGCAAGAAGTGTGCTGTTGCTGCATATTTTTTGTGGGTGACAAGTCATGTTGAGTAACAACAGCAAAGAGTTCATAAACTTACAAGACAGTTTATAAACCACGTCAAGGGTTTGACGGTTTCCCTGCAACAAGGGCAGGGGGGGGGGTCAGAACTCTTTACGGGGGGGGAGGGGGGGGGTACTGAGAAGTCTTTACAAAGTTGGCTGAGTCACACCTCACTGCTAAGACTTCCAACCAACCACCCCCCCCCCCCCTCCCAAAATTTCCAACCACCCCCCCCCCCTCCTTCAACGATACCATGAACACTTCGTAGGGTGTTGTTGCCTTGATGCGGGAAACTCGTCAAACACTCAATAAGGTTTATAAACTTTCCTGAAAGTTTATAAACCTTCTGTAGGCTTATTGCGTAGCAAGTGGAGACTGTTGTTTGGGAAAAAAAGGACACTCATTTGAGGCCTTGTTTGATGTGGTTTGGGCATGTGGTCCTAAAAGGTTGATGATTGTGTGTGGGTGTGTCATCACTGCTGCACTGTTATATCAAAGGCTGTCCATTCGGTCCAAGGGAACACAATCTGAGCAACTGCTGCAAAACACTGTGTTTTACAGCATTTTGTTGGATCTCTAATCCCTTCAAATGTCCAATTTGAAACACCTGAAACCTAGAATCTGGAGATCAGAAACCTTGAGGTGTCTAATGTTGGATTCTCCAAGCCTCATAATTTGGAGCCTGGAGTACTCCAACACGAATTGAATTGGAATGCTGAAGGGGGCAAAATGTTGTTCGGGAAATGAACAATCTTCGGCCCAAGGGAACACAATCTGAGCAATTTCTTCAAAACACTTTGTTTTACAGTTTTTTGTTGGACCTGCAATCCCTTGAAATGTCCATGGTGAAGCACCTGAAACCTAGAATCTGGAGATCAGAATCCTCGAGATGTCTAGTGTTGGATTCTCCAAGCCTCATATTTTGGAGCTGGGAGTCCTCCAACATTTTTAAATATAGATTCCTTTCCAAATATACTGCGAATTGAATTGGAATGTTGAAGGGAAAACTGTTGTTTGGGGAAAATAATCTTCGGCCCAAGGGAACACAATCTGAGCAACTGCTGCAAAACACTGTGTTTTACAGTTTTTTGTTGGATCTCTAATCCCTTGAAATGTCCAATTTGAAACACCTGAAACCTAGAATCTGGAGATCAGAATCCTTGAGATGTCTAATGTTGGATTCTCCAAGCCTCATAATTTGGAGCCTGGAGTCCAACATATCCAAGTACACATTCCTTTCCAAATACGATTTTGATCCGAATTGAATTTGCATATTGAATAGCATTTAGTAAGCACATAGTTCACCACCATTCATAATTCACCATAATGTCTATATTAGATCAGAATTTGAACTTTCCAAATAAGGAAAATATGATTGCAGTAGAATCCAAATATACTTTAATGCAGACAGAATTCAATTAGCTATTGAACAGAATAATTTAATCAAGAATCCATCCCCAAATACGGCTTGACTTGGAATATAGCTTATTCTGGAAAGAAATCACTTGGCCTTTGCAGTCAAATTTTAATAGTAACTCATTCCCAAATATGATTTAGCTGAAATGTGGCTAAACAAATAAAGGGCACATATCCCCAGACTCCCAAACTTGGTCTGGAGATGTGTTTGGCATGTGCAGGTCTCAGAGCTTTCATTTTCAGGAGATTTTGTGCTTTTGGGTCTGTGCAGGTTGCAGAGCTCAAAGCTGCCAAAAACATCATTTGTTCAATGTTTTTCCCTGGTGTACTCAAAACCACTGTAAAAACCAGTGATTCAATCAAAGCCAGGCTCGAATCTGAAAACGGAATCCGTTTTCGCTTTGCTGCCTTTCAAGCCTCAAATAATCAGACATTTGCTGTCACATAGAAGGTAAACAAACAACAACAAAACCACTGTATTTTACAGTGTGTTCAGGCATCTGCAAGAAAGAGGCACACAGAGTAGAGTTGACACCTTCAACTAGAAGAGGGCAAAGGTAGGCCCTGGGGGGGGGGGGTGACCATATATATATATATATATACATATGGGTATGCCTGTATGTGCGTGTGTATGTACATATGTAACTGAAAAAACAAACAAACCATAAGTAGGACATGCATCAGGGGCTCCGAGTCTCCCAATCCTTAGAATCAGAGTCTGCCCCAGCTAATGCATCTTCATGGCTGACAGGTTTGCTACTTCTATCGCCAGTCAACGGTTCGTACCATTCCTGCAAGTCTTCACCCTGAGCTGCCCTAGCAAATCTATCGGGTAGGCTGAAATAGATTTCAGCCCAGGCCTACATCAAGCAAACTAGGCTCAGATCACCAAGCTCCTTCCCAATCATTTGGGGGGCCTCTTGCGTGTACTCTCTTTCTGTCTCTCTCTCCCTCTCCTCATCTTTCTCTCTTTCTCTCGTTCTCTCCCTTTCCTTCCTTCAATTTCTTTCATTTTCTTCCTTTCTTCCCTCTGTCACTCCAAGATGCTTGACGCGCTGTGACACCAAGGTCTCCACCGGATCTTCGACATGGAAGCGTTTGCCATCAAAGCGATAGTGATATCGCCAAGCTTTTCTGCAGGGCTCCCAGCCTTCGCCAGATAAAACAAAATAAATAAAAAAGAACAAAACTGGAAAGACTGGCACTGAGCCGGGGCTAAAGGAATGCGGGTGTGCCTTCTTTTGAGGGTGCCCTCTTTGGCTGAAAGGGAACCGTACCTGCTCTGTGGTCAGCCATCTGCGGTTCCTCATCGCTGTTTCAGTGACAACTCTTTATCGCGGCCAGTCATTCGCGCTCTGGCTGTTGCCGTTTGCCCCTGTCAAAGCAAGGGTGGGCTAGGAAGAAAGCAATACGAAACCCCACACCCTCATCCGGCATCTTGGTTGATGTTGGAAGGGGAGCAAATTCTAAATCTTAGCAGTTAAGTGGGGATTTCCCACAAAACCACTACAAGCAAAAATGTAAAATGTTTCCCAACAACAACCATGACATGTTCGCTTGACCCGCCTTCCCACGTGTTCAGCACGCGTCGTGGGTCTGCGGACTCCAGCTCCGGCATGGATGGACTGGACTGCTGCCACCACACGTATGCCCAGGGCACTCGCTTCCTCAGCTGGGGAACCATGGCGCACGCGAAACCGTGCTGAAACACGACCCGAAAACCCGCCCGGAAGGAACCAAAAGCACAGAATGAGAGGCTTACATCGTAGAGGAACCTTTGTCCCTTTCATGCTCTTTCATGGGAAGCGCTAAGACCCTTGTTCCTCACAGCCAAGCGACTGCTGCCCTTGGGCGTCCACCACCTCGGGCAACGGTGCACGTGCTTATCGACAGGTGCACAAGTCCTGCTACTCTGCCGGCCTCGAGGCCGCAGCTTTTGTCATGTCTAAGGCACCATGAGGCATATGGCTGTGGGTCAAATCCAATGGTACCGTTTTGGGGTAGGTGCTTTAGAACCTATTTTAGTAGGGATTGGGATGTTCACTGCGGGTACGACTTGGATTTTGACCCATGGCCATATGGCATTTTTTGCAGCACGGGCACTTCGACGGTTTTGTCCGTCAGGTTGAACTTTGTGACCTTCGCTGGGTGCCAGTTGTTTCGGTCATCACCTTACACGATTGTGTCAATCACCAGCAAGATCGGCCCTGCCACTGGCCAAAGGGCAGTTCTTAGTTTCCCTGCAGAAAAGGTCTCAGCGACCTTGACACGCCTTTCGGGCAGGTCTGAAACGTCTGAAACAACATGCAAGTTGCTCTACTTTGACCCCCCCCCCCCTCCCCCAAAATACAAACACAAAAAACAACACACATCAAGTCCACAAATGCGAGATGCGGCAAGTCGCGGACCTCCACTTGCATGGTGCGCTCACCCTCCAGGGTTGATGTTGAGCCGCCTGTGGAGCCGTTCGACTCCCTGGACGTCATCAGGGCCTGCCCACTGAGTCACTGAGCCCAGCCTGTTGCACTGCCCAATGCTTGGAAATGCACAACATCGGGCTACCATTTGTCTGGGGCCGAAACAGGCTGGGGGAGATGTGCGCGGCCAAAACAGGCCAGCACACAGGTGAACGCGGCCGAAATGATCGAGCCACAACATCCATTCACCCAGAAAATCAAGGCGGAAACCTTCCTGCGTGAGGCCAAAAAAAAGAAGGCTGCAGGCCGCCTCGCTGGGGCTTGGGTCTCAAAGCGGATCTTGATTTCGAGGGGCGGATCATTCAAACAAACCATTTGCGTCCAGGACATATGGGTATGGGTAAATTCAACCAGACATCCGCGCATTGGAAGCCAACATGTAACAACATACCCGGGCCCCGCAAAACATGAATAGAATTACCCTCCCATGCACTAACAACATAGAGCCTGACTGAAGGTCGTGGAAAGCAATTTTCAGGTATCCCCTGGTGGGTTCCATATTTTAATATTGGTGGGCAGGAGGGTAGCAGTTCAAAGGCAAGTGATGCTAACAGCAACTCTGAGCAATGTCGAACGTCTGTGGCCGGTGTGGCCAATTGCCCAACACCCAACATTTGTTGGAGCAAAACGGAGATGCTCCAGACAGCGATGCTCCAGACAGCGGTAGCCGAAACACAGAGACATCGCTGCCAAGTTTGCAGCATGTGACCGGCCGTCAACCCATCACAATCAGCTGCATGGCCCGGGCCAAGCAGAAAATCAAGACCTGCCTGGCGGCTTACTAGCCTGCGACTGCTCGTCATCGTGCTCCTGGCTGCAAATGGACCATGGCTTCCACTCCCCAAGCCCCACGACATGTGTCACAAGCTTGTGCCGAGGTCGCTCGCGCCAGCTTCGGATTCATCCGGACCCCGCGAATCTTGGGCGGCTCCCCTTTTAGTATGCGTAAGGGAGTGCACGATTTTTGAGTGGGGTTCCTCAAGCCAGTAGGGCGCTCCGGGCTGATACGATGACAGTTCCTCGCAGCAAGTTGCGCCTGACAGCCCGAAAGGCGCCCTTGATGCTCGCGACGGATGTGGCGGCTCTCGTGCAAGTGCCTCCGCCTGCGGATCGGCGGCCATGCAACCGATCCGCATCAGGCTGGCAAAGCTGGAGCCCTGCAACTACGGATCTGGGTTTGTGTCAACAAATGGAAGATAAAATGGGTGGCGTCCTTTTGTCTTCCCTGAAAGAACAAAAGGATATTGAAAAAGCAACAAACCAAGCTATAAGTGGCATGGGGGCCAACTGGAAGCTACCTGGTATGCTCGTCGGGCAAGATATGGGCTTATTCTAGTAGACAGCGAATTGGTTTCCGTCAGACTCCAGGTCCTTAGGTTCAGCGGACTTGATTTTTCCGGCATTGCCCACAAGATCAGATCGTTCCCTGAGGCCGCGGTCTTGAGGCAAAGGAGCTGCGTTTCCAAGCGATTCCCAGCGTCTGTCCGGTGCTTGCCACTCGGGATCAAAGCCAGCCAGCCTGTTCCACGCAAGAACCTAGCTCGCCCAATCCCAGCCTATGCTTGCAAGCTGCTGCAAGTGGTACAAGAAGTCCATGCCAGTACCACTCTGGTCGCCAGCTAGGCAATGGCCGAAGGCCACCGTATTAATCCTTGGGACTAAACTGAACATCTGTCTGCGTTCTGCGTGCCAAACAACGCAACTTCATACGAAGCCAGCTGCTGGTGGACCCGCTTTGCTTGGCAGTTGGGAGGTTGCCCAGGGTGTTTAGCCAGGGTGCTTGGCCACAAAAGCAGACGAACCCAAACCAACAGAAAACCAGGCAACAATCATCAAATAAACGAATCCACAAACCAACCAACCAACCAACCAAACAAACAAACAAACAAACAAACAGACACACAAACACACAAACAAACAAACAAACAATCAATCAAACAAACAAACAAACAAACAACCAGACATATCAAATACAAAAAAAGCAAGCCAAGCAAAGAAAACTAACAAACAAACAACAAACAAACAATCAAATAAAACAAACAACGAAGCAAGGAACCAACAAACAAAGCAGACCCAACCTCAACCAAACCAAATCAAACAAGCTCACCATCAACAAAGAAACAGCTAGATCGACCTGCTTATGCTCCCTGGTAGGAAGGTTACACTTCTTTGTTCTGGGTCGCGAGAGGGTTGGTGCACGCATTGCTTAAACCAAAAAAAACGGATCGGGAGACCGCCAACAGCCCTGACACCCTCCCTCTCTGAAAGCTGCCCTGAACCTGCCGTGATCCTGGTATCTGCACATCAAAAATGTCTCATACCGTTTTGCACCCCTTTAGCGCTGTCTCCGACAACCGCACATGCTTCACACAAGAAATTATTTTCCAGAGATTTGGATCCTTTTAACAAATTCTGAAAGTGTGGAGTCTTATTTTTCAATTGTTCATCTGCTATCTGGGCCTACCGGCGCGGCTAAGGCACTGCACCTTGCTCATGAGGCCGCACAGCTTCTCCATGAACTTGTCGGGGTCCCAAGGCTCCCCATCTGAGATGAACATCCTGAAGGCTGGTCAAAACTCGGCATGGACAGGACCCAAACCTGCGGGTCGTTTGAATTTGGACCTGTACCCCTCTCAATGGCGAAAGGAGCCGGCAAGGAAAGGAGTTCATTGTGCCACATATGTGACACATTTACAACCCACGAGCTTCGAACATCTGGAGTCGCGTTCCAAGTGTCACATAGGTCCGCCGCCCCAGCTGCCCCAGCTGGTCGGCTCTTTGCACCTCGAAGCTTAATGGCGGCTGCGAAGGTCATTATTTTTTGCACGCTAGAGACTCCCAACAGGTCCAGCGCCAGAATCTAACCTGACTTGCGCCTTTGCAAAAGATTGCGGCAAAGCACTACACCTCCCCAGGAAAAAAACAACACAAAACAGAAAAAAGACAAATGACAAAGAAACAAGTCCAAGCCCTAATCCCTCCCTCCCCACCCACCCCCCCCGCCGGCCCAAAAAGAATTCCTTCGCGGCGCGCGTCTTGGGCAAAAAGCGCTGCCGCTGGCGCTTGCACGTCCCTCCAGCCGAGGCTCGCAGGCCTCGATGCCTTCCAGCCCCGAGGTGTAGGAGGTTTGGCCCTGCGGGCAGATCGGCGTTCGCGTGAGCCGCTCCGCCGCTTTTGGCGCCGGCAGCAGGCTGAACTCCACTCCTCGGGAACAGGGACCGCAGAGCAAGCCACCGGTGAGGACCCGGACGTGGCAGACCTGGACCCTCAAACTACCCGGAAAAAGGGGAAAAACGAACATGTTGTGGCAATCATCCCATTCTTAAGGGTTATTTCAAACAAAAGGAGTTCACCCCAACAGGTTGGGGGAATCATCCATATTTAAGGGTTATTTGAGGGTTCAAACGGATAGCGGGGAGTTGTTCCTCGTGGAGGGGACACCCGCATATTGATAAACCGGGGTTGATTGATCTCGGGTCAACATTAAATGGTATAGATTCTGCAGCTGCCAAAAACTCAACTCCACCTCGCCCAGGCTTGAAACTAGTCTCCGCTTGAAATCGATACAACGCGGGCACTTGCGCTTGAGGTCGAAGAAAATGACCCACACAACATGCGGCCACCAGCCGGGGCCTTCGGCCCCCGATCGTTGCCTTGCGCTCTCTGCTTTCGGCCCCCGAAAGCAGAAAGCACAGCCGCAGCCAAGGGACGGAATCGTGTGTTGAAGGTGACAAAGGAATATACGTCGTCTGACCTGCAGAGCTTGGAGCGCATCTTCAATGCTGTGACACCGCCACCCCGCCCCCGGAAATGTGGCATTCGATGGCTTGACACGAACATCAGCACGGCATGGGCATCGAATCTCGGAAACGTCGCCACATCCAACCTCTTGCAGAAAACATGCCAGGGCTGCGTGTCCCAAAACTTCTGCTGAGATTGGCCCATCTCCTGCGCGAACTCTCCCAACTTCTGCTGAACCTTGCGGGGAGTGGTAGCAGAAGGCAAGGATGTAGGAATCTGGGAACGTATATATATATATGTATATACATATGCACATACGTACATATATGCACGCAGGCATGCAAATAGGTAGCTGTCTGTCTGTCTGTCTGTCTGTCTGTCTGTCTGTCTGTCTGTCTGTCTGTCTGTCTGTCTGTCTGCCGGTCTGTCTGTAGGCATGTGCAAAAGCGAACATATGCATACTAAATATAAGACGTAGACCTGGGGAAGTCAAGGCGGCATCCCAAACATCACCAGCATCACCTGGACCAATCAAGCAAGCAACCGAGCCAACCAACCAACCAACCAACCAAACAAACCAACCAACCAACCAACCAACCAGGCAAGGTGCTAATGTTTTGGGGCTTGGTCTTTCAAGTTGCGCTGGTGGCCACGGCTTGCATATGGCAAAAGCGAAAGAGTTGGTCCAGATCAAACGAAAAAAAGTCCCCCCCCCCACCGCGCTTGCACTTTCTCAATCTCTGCTGTTTGAGCCTTAGCCTGTCACAGCATGTCCATCTTCCAACTACCCTCCCCCAGACTAACATGGAAGCTCCCAGGACTGCTTTGGAAGCCTTGGTTCCATTTACACAGGCCTTCTGGGAGCTTCCATGTTGGTCTGAGGGAGTGTAACTAATAGAGCGCTAACAACGGCTGCAGCAAAAAACGGCGCCCCAGGCCCGCCGGGCAGCGGCGTCGATGCGGCGCTGCAGCATGCCGCTGGCATCGTAGCAATCGCAGTTGGACATGCTGCCAGAGATGTCCAGCACGATGATGTAATGGGCGGCCACCTCATGAGCCGCCAAAAAAGAGGGGGAAAGAGTCCATATGTTCTGACAAACGCCATGGAACACCACGTGTTTTTCAATGATGAAGATATTTCTCCATCTGCCAGCGAACCTTTCCACCACCTGGAACCAAGCAACACGCCGGACCCCTCGCCTCGCATGGGCCGGAAGCCGGGTGAGTCTCCATGGGTAGGTCTCCCAAGATGCTGGATTCCTCACGGGCCCACGCCAGGAAGAGTCCGTGTTGACTCCGAAGAATGCCTGCTTTCCACTCAAAAACAAAAAGCACCAAAAAGGTCAGACCCATTGGGGGGGGGAATGGTCTAGGACATGTGCCTGATTTGTTTGGTTTCTTTTGTTTTTTGAATTGCATCGAAAGCAAGCGAGTTCTCAGCACTGTGACGACCAGCGTGACTTTGTGACCAAAGGTAAGTTCAAACATGTCCGGACTTGGAAAACATGCCCCTCAGGGAGTATGTTGAATCAGTTCCTCTTCGGCAAATCAAGCTTGGACTTGACTCGAATTGTCCTTCTGGACTCCCCAGGTGATATCCCCAACAGCATGCGGTGCTCTGTTTTGTGCTCGCACCACCCCGCCCTCGCAGAACCTCGTGGAACCCTCGAACCCGAAACCCTCGTCTGATGGAACCTTACCTCAGGGCCGCCCCGGACCACCCCGGAGCCTAGCTGGGCTGAGACCCCAAAGCTTTCAGCTGTTGGGGAAAAAACCGACAAAAGAGGAGATATCGAGGTACCCATTTACTTGGTTGACGTTGGAATCCGGAAGGGGAGCTAACAAATAATATTAGCAGTTAAGTGGGGATTTCCCACTAAACCACAATAAGCAAAAATGCAAAATGTTTCCCAACAACAACTATGTTTAGCCGGGGGCATCACTTTGGATCCCTCCTCCGTGTCTGCCGAGTCCGCCGCCGAAAGCTGCTCATCCTCCACCTCTGCCGGTTCCAGGCCGGCAACATCCGCAGCCTCCGCAGCCTCCGCAGCAGATTGCGAGGCAGTCGCTCCTGGCGAGGTGGGGGTGGATGGGGGTGGTCTGGAAGAAACATGTGGGCGTGGGTCAAAATTAAACCACCAGGAAGCCGCAGGTAGGCCAAGTTGCCATTTACCAGGGCAAGCCATTTTGGGGTTACCATATCTTTGACCCACAGCCATGTGCATCTTGGGCTCAGTTTCAGGGAAGAGGTCCTTGGTCAACTCCCGGGGAAACCGACGACTGCTGCCTGTGTTGATACTCAAACCAACCACTGCCCGACGACCTGGGGGGGTAGGGTGGCCCCCCGCAAATGAAAACAAAAAAGAAAAGGGATCCCCGCCAGCAACCCCCCCAAAAACACAAACTGGAACCCTTCCAGAGCCAAAGCGTCTCCAAAGCCTATTCCGGACAAAGACTCCGAGCTTTCTTTGACGCCCTTACATCGAGGCCATGCCTTCTGACTCCCAGACCCGCGTCCTGAAGGCTGCCACACATGACAGCCCGCCGCAGCCTCCGATTGAAACCCTCGTGGGATTTGTTGGGAGGCAGGGGTGGTCATGATGAGGGTGTCCAACCCCGCTCTTCTTGATGCTGTCCGCACACTACAAATCTTTTGTGCCCCCCGTTCTGCACAGAACGTTGTTGTTCTGCTCACAACAAGAACCCTGCTGTCTGGAGTCTTGTTGCCACTTAAGGACACATGTGGTAACTGCATGCTCGACGGCACAAACAGGCCCTACAATTACAATCGACCCATTCCCAACTAGTTACCCTAACCAAAAAACACTATGTTGCCGTTGCTCTATCGGGCGCAATCATTGGGAAGAAGCATCATTTACATAGCTAAACTGTGTGCCCCATGAGGTGACGCCAAACAACCGGCAGTTGTTTTTTTTTCTTTTTTTTTTTTTTTTCCGCTTGCTTGCTTACCAGCAAGTCATTTGCTTGGGGGGTTTTCGGGCTCTGCAAGGGTTCCTTGATCCCAGGTCAGCCCCGCCTGCGCCAAGTTTGGCAACTCTTCATCGGACCATTCGCTCTCCAGTTGCCGGTGGTTTTCCACAGAAGCGCTCACGGCCCTGGAGTCATAGCCCCGGCCTCAGAAAACCCCCCCCCCCAAAAAAAAACCAAAAAAAACAACAACAACATGGAACTGGCCCAGAGCAGAGTGGAAGGATGCCAGTCACCGGCCACCAATTGCATTCGTCCGATTGCCTAAGGAAAACGCACGCCACGTCCAATACATAGGCGGCCTTTTGGAAAATATATGGCCCTGGTAAATGAAACAAGATCCATCTAATTACTGTAAAAATGACGCCTATTGTCTAGTATATTTCTAGCCATGGTCATGATGCTGGGCATTCTCTCCGAGATTGGCCGTGCATTTCACAACCCTGTGCTCTCCCGTGCCTCGGGCATCCACAATGTGAATCTCACGTTGAAGGCTGGCTTCTCCACGGGAGGCCTGCTGGGCGCAAGGCGCATGCTGGGAAGAGCTGCCGGTCGATGAATCAACCCCCGTTCATTAATATGGGGGTGCTTTTCCCCGAGTTTTAGTGGGGATTCGTCGCTTTTGGAGGGGAACACCCCCAGAACAATAAACAGGGGTTGATTCATCTAAATACTGAAATCCTGGAAGCAAATGGGGAAAAAAGGGGCAGACCGTGAGTGTGAAACCAAAGGCTGTGGGCCTTGTGCACGTCCATGAGCCTCTTGGCACTCGAAGGGTTCACCCTGCAAAGCTGCTGCAGCGCCGCGTGGGTGGCCCAGGAGTAGCCCATCCGCTCCACAAACTCCGGGATCCTGAAGGCTTCTGAAGGCTTGGCTCGTCTTTTGAGGCTGCCCCCTTGTTTGGTGGCTTTAAAGGGCAGAGGAGAACCACCCTCTCTGTTTTTGGGGGGGGGCGCACCCATAGCAAAGGCCTCTCTTGGGAGGGACTTGAAGCTTGTTTCATCATCCGCAGTCAGCCCAAGCAACCGCACGGCAAGCTGACCCTATGCTGACCCTCAACCAAAGCCTGCCCAAAGCCAACCCAGACCAACCCCTAAGATTCTTTAAGGCTCTAAGGCCGCCCCAAAACTCCAACACCTTCCACACAACAACTCCAAGATCATAGGCGTCCTTTTAGGGGAAATAGATGGGTTTCTCTGGTACAACCAAAAAAAAGGACACCTATACCTATGTCCAAGATACGCGTCTCAAGCTATCCTTCGACCGGTTCGGTTGCGGGAGACCCTGGCACTCCAAGGTCAAGGGCTCGAGGCTAAAGGATTTGCAGATCAATGCGAAGCTAGGCTATGGGCAACTCATCCAAGCAATCAAGCAAGCAAGCAACTAACCAAGCAACCGATCGACCAACCAACCCGACCAACACCAACCCAACCCAACCCAAACCAACCCAACCCAACCCAACCCAACCCAACACCAAACCAACCCAACCCAACCAACACCAACCAACCCAACCCAACCCAATGACGATGGGAGATGGCTTGGAGCCAGCCTCTTCTCCACGTTGCGCTTCCGGGTGCCAACCGCGATGCGGTGCGCGTAGGCCGCGGGGTTGTGGATGGAGCCGTACCTGGGCGCCGCTGTGACAGCGCCGCTCACAGCCGAAGGGCAAAAGGCCAAATATCAAATCCTAAACCCATCAAATTCGTGTTGGACGTGGGGTAAAAAACACATATTAATTGAGCTCGTGTTGGACATGGGCAAAAAAACCACATGTTAATTGAATTCGTTTTGGACATGGGGTAAAAACACATGTTAATTGAGTTCGTGTTGGACATGGGCTAAAAAACACATGTTAATTGAGTTCGTGTTGGACATGGGCTAAAAAAACACATGTGAATTGAGTTCGTGTTGGACATGAGTAAAAAACACATGTTAATTGAATTCGTGCTGGACATGAGTAAAACACACGTGTTAATTGAGTTCGTGTTGGCCATGGGCTAAAAAACAACATGTTAATTGAAATGGTCCTGGACATGGGGTAAAAACATGTTAATTGAGTTCGTGTTGGACATGGGCTAAAAAACACATGTTAATTGAGTTCGTGTTGGACATGGGGTAAAGAAAACATGTTAATTGAGGTCGTGCTGGACATGAGTAAAAAACACATGTTAATTGAATTCGTGTTGGACATGGGGTAAAAAACACATGTTAATTAAGATCGTGTTGGACATGGGGTAAGAACACAGGTTAATTGAATTCGCGTTGGACATGGGCTAAAAAACACATGTTAATTGAGTTCGTGTTGGACATGAGTAAAAAACACATGTTAATTCACTTCGTGCTGGAATGTGCTGGACATGGGGTAAAACACACGTGTCAATTGAGTTCGTGTTGCACATGGGCTACAAAACAACATGTTAATTGAATTCGTGTTGGACATGGGATAAAAACAAATGTTAATTGAGTTCGTGTTGGACATGGGCTAAAAAACACATGTGAATTGAGTTCGTGTTGGACATGAGTAAAAAACACACGTTAATTGAAATCGTGCTGGACATGAGTAAAACACACGTGTTAATTGAGTTCGTGTTGGCCATGGGCTAAAAAACAACATGTTAATTGAATTCGTGTTGGACATGGGCTAAAAAATGTTAATTGAGTTCGTGTTGGACATGGGCTAAAAAACACATGTTAATTGAGTTTGTGTTGGACATGGGGTAAAGAAGACATGTTAATTGAATTCGTGCTGGACATGGGGTAAAAAACATGTTACTTGAATTTGTGTTGGACATGGGCTAAAAACACACATGTTAATTGAGTTCGTGTTGGACATGGGGTAAAAACACATGTTAATTTAATTCGTGCTGGACACACCTGTTAGTTGAGTTCGTGTTGGACATGGGCTAAAGAAACACAGGTTAATTGAGTTCGTGTTGGACATGGGCTAAAAAAACACATGTTCATTGAGTTTGTGTTGGACATGGGATAAAACCAAATGTTGATTGAGTTCGTGTTGGACATGGGGTAAAAACACAGGTTAATTGAATTCATGTTGGACATGGCATGTGCTAAAAAAAAAACGTGTTAATTGAATTCGTGTTGGACATGGGGTAAAAAAACACATGTTAATGGAGTTCGTGTTGGACATGGGGTAAAAAAAATAAGTTAATTTAGTTCGTGCCGAACATGGGCTAAAAAACATGTGTTAATTGAATTCGTGTTGGACATGGGGTAAAAACACATGTTAATTGAGTTCGTGTTGGACATGGGCTGAAAAAACACATGTTAATTGAATTCGTGTTGGACATGGGCTAAAAAACAACATGTTCATTGAGTTTGTGTTGGACATGGGGTAAAAACACATGTTAATTGAGTTTGTGTTGGACATGAAAAAAACACACACACACACACACACACCTGTTAATTGAATTCGTGCTGGACATGGGGTAAAAACACACACATGTTAATTGAGTTCGTGTTGGACAGTGGGTAAAAAACACATGTTAACTGAATTCGTGTTGTAAAAAAAACACATGTTAGTTGAATTCGTGTTGGACATGGGGTAACAAAAACACATGTTAATTGAATTATTGTTGGACATGGGGTAAAACAACACATGCTAATTGATTTCGTGTTGGACATGGGGTTTAAACAACACATGTTAATTGAATTCGTGTTGGACATGTAAAACAACACATGTTAATTGAGTTTGTGTTGGACATGGGCTAAAAAACACGTGTTAATTGAGTTCGTGTTGGACATGGGCTGAAAAAAAGACATGGGGTAAAAAACACATGTTGCGTAGCTCACTCCTTCTGTTCTTACTGTCGGCTGCCATGAATCATGGACATTGCTTCCTTTTGACATTCATGCCCATTTGAGTCGATGAACCGCAAAACAGGTTTGAGGAAACAGTACCGCAAATTGAGCAGGGTAGTTCCTCCTCAGGTTTGCCTTGCGTGTCAGTGCCAGGACTTCAGCACAAGTAATCCAATCCGGCACGAACGCATTATTTTAGCGCCGGGATATGCCGAGAGTGAAAAACAACAGCACAACCTGCACATTTAGAAAATCATGCCCACACACACATTTATGGGGTCTCCTAAATCAGATTATGTTCTCCGAAAATAGCGTCCAAGGCCAACAAAAACAACATCCGAGGATTCCAAATCGGCAACCTGTGGTGGGCACTACATCAGGACCTTGAACAAACTGGATCAAAAATTGGGAAGCAATCTCATCTCGAACAATCCGGCAGGAGTTTTTCTCCAACGCACGGCTGGCCCCAGACAGCGTGACTCTTCGGGCCTTTGCCGTGCCTTGGCGTGCCTTCGCCCGCTCGCGCTCGCCGCACAGCTCCGAGCGGCGGCACCGTCTGCGTGAAGTTGGCGTCGCTGAGCACGTCCGCCACCTCCAGCGGCGCCAGGGAGCGCAGCGTGGACCGCAGCTCGGAGGTGAGCTCCGGCGATAAAACCCCCGCGGAAACCACCACCTGAGCTGCAAAGGGTGTAGGGGGCTACCTGGGCACAGCCTGGGATCGGATATGAGTGGCATGGAGCTCTGACCGAGATGGTTTCAACACCATTCTTGTTTGGAGCATCATCTGGATCAACTTCAGTAGTGACCACTCCATCATTAGCAATAAATGCTTTGTGACTTCAATAGCATACAGGTTGCGACCCTTGGCCCAGAGATCTTCTGAGAAGTTCCGCACGCCGCGCGGCATAAAGAATCACATTGGAAACCCAGCGCTCGTGACACAAAGCGAAAGGCGCAACAACCACTGGAGCCGCAGGCTCTGCAGATTTGCTACTACCAGTCGTGGCCCACAATCGCCCAGCCGCTGCCATAAAGCTCTCGATCTGGTCGATCCTGAGCCATCGGTAATCCAAACGTAGCCGGTGACACGATTTCAGGTCTGTCCCTGCACCCAAGCTACAGCTAGCCACCAATGAACACCACACCTAAAAACATTCTTGAAATTCCATCCTGTGACTGCTTTGCGGAAAACAAAGCAGCGTTTCTGTTCATAAGTGGGCCGTCCTGTTGACTACTTGAATCGCTTTAAAACTGGGGTTCCCTCTGTCTGCCGAAAAGTGGCTTTGGGTGTCTCCATTGGAAGCTGCCGAACAGCTTGAAGCTTGCGTCCCACTGCAAAACGGTTCTCCCGCAAAACCCGTGTGGAGCGCTTGGCGTTGGCTGACTTTCAGCGAAGTGGCCCCCGTGAAAGAAGGAAAGCGAGATGCAATCAAACAACTGGGAACTTGAATTAGCCCCTTGAGCCTAGGTGGCCTTTTGGCATAAGAGACGGCCCTGACAAATGAAACAAAACCCATGTAAACCAGTGGAACCCATCTAGTTTGAACCCAACTAACCGATCACAAGGACGCCTCTGCCCAGCAGCCCCACCCTCTCCCAGCTCAGAACGCTGGCTTGTTGCTGTTGCCCCCCTCTTGCTTTCCCTTTGGCTTTGAACATGTGGCCAACCACCGCTGGCCCCATAATCTTTTGCCAGTGACTCCCTAGGTTAACTTTGTTGCTGTTGACCCGTCCGCAAAAAGTGAACATTTGTTCCTGGGTCCAATTCGGAACATCCGGGCTGTTTCAACCTAAAAGTGTAAGTCCAAAGATCCATTGCCAAATGTCCGTAAGCTTGAAGGGACCCACCTTTTCAATTGAAAAAGAAGAGACGCAATCACGCCAACGAGCTGCCAATTTGCAAAAAAGTTGAAGTTGGAACCACCCCCAAACGAAAGAACACAAACAAACTGAACAAACAAATAAAACAACAACAACTAAACACGACTCCCTTGTTTCCCCGAAACAAGCAAAAACCAAAAAACAAAGCGCGACTCCGACGAGCGACCCCCCCCCCCCAGCCACGCCCTCCGCTCCCAATCCGCTCCGAGCCACAGCTGCGGCTCCAGGTCCCCCTCGCTGGCGCGGGCGGCGCAGCGAGAGGCCACGATGCGGCTCCAGGCCATGGGCTGCAGGGAGATGAGCCTCAGCCCAGTGGATTTGCAGGGGAAAAAAAGGAATCCGCATCCCTGGAGTGTTTTTGTTTTTTTGGGTGGGTTGAGTTTCAATTGAGAAAACAAATCCACGGAAAAAATGGGCATCTTTTTTTGGGCTGGTTGAGTTTGAAGGGAACCCTTCCCAACAAAAAGGAAAAAAGGAAGCAACCCACTGGGTGGGTTGAGTTTCAAGGGAGAAAACAAGGGTTGAGTTTTGAGTCTGTTTCCCCTTTTTTTGGGGAGTTTCAAGGGAAGCCTTCCCCCAAAAAAATGCAAAAAGGGGCGGAATCCACTGGGCAACTGGGGAGCTTCTTCTCCACCTCCAAGGCCTCCAACGGTCCGCTGGGACGGCAAAAAGGGTCTGGATTTCTCGGAGCAAATGGCTGGGTCTAATGGTGCACGTCGAATAATAAACACACAAACCAACAAAAAAGCGGCGTGGGTTTTTCTCAAGGGAGAAAACGGCTTGGAGGTCTGGAAAAAAACAAGTAAAAACGTCTTCCCCCCTGTATCTAGGGACTGGCGTCTTGGAGTCTTGGGTTCAACTCACTTCCGATGTGGATAGCCCCCGAAAAAGTAACCAAACTTGTGGGGAAAACCACTAAAATGGTCCAGTCCCAACAAATGACTAAAGTCCAGGAAGTGAGGTTCCATTTGGCTGAGAGTTTAATTGCGGACCCTTTGCTGGACATCAACATTCAGTGGGGATTCTTGTCCACCACACTTTCAATTTGGTTCTCTCAGAGCCAATTTTCTTGGGATGCCATTTGTGTACTTGGTTGCTGCCGAGACCCCACTGCAGAAAGTGAAAAACTGTTTGTGGGTCCAATTCAGAACATTCGGCCTCCGTTCCCAAATAGCCGTAAAGTGTTGGGGTGGAAACACAGGTCAAGGGCTTTTTGGGGCTCCAAATCCTCTTTGAGAGACACCCATGTGGTTCCCGAGTGCTCGCGTTGAATAATAAGCAGCTGTGGTGTTTCAATGGTGACATTTGTGGGTGTTGAGCTTGTAACATGTAATTTGAAACGCCAATCCTGTTTGTGATGTTATGGGAAACCGACTCAAGTGAGAGTCAGCATTGGTGTGGTGTCATTGCTGCGAATCCTCACTGGCATGCGGGAGATGTGAGGAGTGTGAGAAGCCACCACGCGTGAACGGGGGACGTTCCCTGTTGCTTGCTGAAAACTTGTCCTTGAGGGAAAATGAAATACAAGTTGAGGGAGGGCCCTTGCAGTGTTCGAACAAATTGAGTCAAGAAATGACATGGGTGGGGATCAAAATGGCACCCAACATGGCATCTTGGTCTCTGAAAGGCTAAAACCTGCGCAGCCAGAGCCACACCCACATGAAATGACATGCCAAAGCGAACAAACATGCTAGTGGCCAAGGGTACCTTCCGCTTTCTCACCGCCCCGCAAAATCTGTCCGAACTGCGCTTTCGTCGTTCCGTTTTCTTTTTTCTCCACCGCTACCCGAAATCAACGGCACTCCCCGCCCCAACCCCCCCGGTCAGGCTTTCACCTTCTCGACTTCCCCAAGGGCACACTTAAAACCCAGGGGCGGTTAAATTACACCGCAAAAAAGGAACCAGTCCGTTCAAGTCTACCCTCGAAAAAGTCAAACAAATGGGGGGGGGTTATGAACCACTCCGTTTCAGTCTACCCTCGAAAAAGTCAAACAGTGGAACCCCCCGCCCCCCCCCCCCGACCCCCCTTCCCCCCCGGCCCGCACGATGTCCAGCGCCGCCGCCAGGTCCAGACTCCACAGGTCCCGCGCCGCCTGGCTGGTGAGCTCCCGGCGCAAGCAGAACTCCTCCACCTGGCCAAATCGAGGCGATTTCCCGCTCGCGAGGCTCGAGAAAGGCAGAAGGGAAGGCGCGGAAGGCGGGCGGCGCGTCGCTTTTTTTGTTGTTGTTGTTGCTTTTTATTTTTTTAGTTGGAGTCGTTTCGTTGGAGTCAACCTCCATTTGCCTGAGATCCACTGGACAAATGAATGCTCTTTCCAGTTGTGAAAGATTGCCTTCAAGACCAACGGGAAAATGACACCATTTTTGTTTCTTAATTCAGAATATGTCCAAAACGTGGCACAAGGGATCCCTACAGGGATCTTTACCACGGTGAGCTCGTTCTGCCCCCAGGTCTTGGCCCCAGCTGGATTTCACGCTCCAGGGACCGGGAGAAAAACGTGGGTGAAACCGCTGGGGCTTTTTCAGGTCCGCAGTTTTCTCGGTTGCGAGATCTGCGAAGCCCTGCCAAAAGTGAATCACTTTTAGTGCCTTTTTTTTTCCGGAAAGCCCATGAGGTGGCAAAAAAGGTTCAAGTCCTAACATCCAAGCAAAATGCACCAAAGGTTTTACCTGGCCCCATGATTGGAGCGTTGTCAACGTCACCCCCGTTCAGTGGTAGGTTGACGGAACACCCCAATTTCTGGCTGCGAGAACCCTAGCCGTCAAAACCATGCCCCTGTCAAACAAGGAGACTGCAAAGACCTCCTAGCACTTTGTTTCTCCCTAGTCTCCAGCACTCGAACGGCTCAAACCCGCCGCTGGGCCTCTTGAATCGCAGCGTCGCGGTCCAAAGCCGACTCAGGCCGCTCACCTAAGGTCTGGCGGCTCAAACCGAAAGCCGTGCCAAACAAAGTCACCTCCTGAACATTGCCTTGTAAATGGTGGTTTCCCATTGTTTTGGTGGAAAAAGCCATGCTGAAAATGGGCAAAATGTATCTTTTAAGGAGCCCTGCTACTCACTTGCCACTTTTTCAGGGACCCAGAAAAAAGGTTCACCCCTTGGGCCAGGACAAAAAATTGAGTAAAAAAGGAAACCAAAAGTTCAAAAGCTCAACTTTGGACCAGTGAGTGTGTGGCAACTCCTTGCACCAAGGTTGCAGTCCTGCAACTGATGTGCTTCGGGCGTCTGCGACACTTGTCCTTGCCCGTGCCATTCTTGCCCAGGGTGAAATTCTTGACCAGTGTGCCATTCTTGCCCAGTCTGGCCTTGTTGCCCAGTATGCCATTCTGGCCCCGTGTGCCACTCGTTGCTAGTATGCCATTCTTGCTCATGGGGCCGATTTGATTGCTGCCGCCATCCGGGGTCTTGTTTCCATTCGGATTCCTGCCATTGCTTCCACGCCGAGACCTGCCCATCTGAGCCCTGTTTCCACCCTGGTGCCTGCCACTGTTGCCACTCCAACTCCTGCCTCTGTGGCCCGCTCCATTCTGCCTGCACTTCTGATGCCTCCCATGGCCGCCATTGCCACTCGCCCTGCTGCCGGCATTCCATCAGTTCCGGTGCTCGCTGGCAGGGCGGGGCCGGGTCACAAAGGAAGCGCTCAAAAGGCTCAGCACTCGACAGGAGCTCGCTCAAAGATCGCTGTAGCCGGATCGGGAGCCCCATCTGCTCAACTTCAGATGCCGGACAGTAGGACAAATCAAACAGCCTCAGTTACGCACAGCCCCGAGAAATCGCCGCACCGAACAGGCAAACAACTTATCCATGTCAAACGCCCATCTTCGCCTTGCAGGCGAGAGGCTTGCAAACGGAGGAGAAGCCCTGCCTTTCCAGGCGCTCCCCATACCACGCCCTGAGCTGGACAGCTGACCTTTTGGAAAAATAGATGGGATTCCCTGGTAAATGGAATAAACCCCATCTAAACCAGTGGAACCCATCTATTTTCAACCAAACTCACCTAAAGAGGACACCTATGCGCAGCCCGCACGCCAAGGCGCATGTCTGCTTCTGTGCAGCCCAGGGTGGGTGCCACAAACTGGAGAAACCTCGGGTGACCGGGTGATCCATAAGAAAGCTAAATGACGACGTCAATGTGCACAAACAAGTAGGTACACAATATACATATAGACATTCTACAATCTATTGTGTCTCTAAGCGTGGACCCGCATGTGTAAAACATACTTCTATATATAATAGATATATGTATATGTATATATGTATATATACATTTACATGCCTAAACATGCAAGCATAAACCAGCATCTCCCAGATATACGCCAACATTGCCCTACCTGAAGCGGAAAATCTCCGCCATGTCCCCATGACTATGACGGGCGGCTCGGCGAATTTCGCCGAGGGTTGGCAACGTTGGGACCGGCTCCATTTACTTGAAGTTTGCAAAAGGGCCAACCAAAGAACATCCGCCATTTGAACAACATTCTCATGTAGCCTGGGCGCTGCTTCAAGGGAGGTAGCTGCAGCTTCTTCTCAGCCTCCGCGCTGATGGGATGACCCAGCTGATGTCTTTGATACCTGCTGCCACCTATGCGTGCTGCCCGCGCTTGCGCCAAACGATCCCCTCATGGGTGTAGCAACCCGGAAATCATGGTGGGTCATGTTTGTTTTGCACGGCTCAGTGAGTTCAAACGTGCCTGTTGGCTTCAGGAATGACATGCTGATTCAGCTGATTAGTCCCCACATCTTTCCATTCTCAAGTCGCAAGCCTTTAATTTAACGGCGGCTCAATCTTGCAGGGTGCCAGGTAAGGCCAAAATAGATAAGGCTCTATGGGCTGCGCAATGAAAGACTGAAGCAAGGGGTCCTAAGGCACAAGTCAGGAACAAAAAGCCAAACTCCCTCCATGTGCTCTGGGCACATTGGGGGACAAAAAGCAACAAACACCGACGCATGGCGGACTCTTTTGGCACATGACAAGCTGGTTGCCACCAACGCATCGGATTGGAACCCATGCCTCGTACATTCACCAGCTTTCCGTTGGTGGTGCTTGTGAGCGCATCCTCGGCTGGTCCATGTGGCCTTGTCGTTCAGGTGGGACCCCAGAAACGGCAAGGGCTTGGTTCTGGCTTCCCTTTAAAGCCAGGCAACAGGAGGGACCCTCAAAAAAAACAGACCCATCTGGCAAAATGTACACGTTCCCTTCAAGAACTTCAGCTCTGCACAACTCGAGGCGCCAAATGCTCAGTACAGGCCCCGGCAGCACAGCCTTTGCCACAGAAACCGCGAAGCACAGCCTTGCTACTGCTGCAAGTAGTGCTGTGCATGGACAACTGGTTGCAAGGGCCCAAGTACACACTGGCTACTGTCGTTCCACATCTGGGTCCTCCAGTAGAGAGGTTAGAATAAGGGTACCCTTTTTCTGTGGTCTATCTTAGTAGGGGAACCCTCCCAACCAACAAATTGGGAAAAAGGGCACTACTGGGGAACCTAGTTCCCTGGCTACTGCTCTTCCCCATCAAATTTTCTTCACCAGCCAGGGGTTGAAGCATGGCACGTCGAGAAAAAAGAAACCTGCAGTGGCATACGCCAAGACGCCACCCACCGGTGAGTGACCTTGTCTCCCAGCAATTTGTCTCGCCGCAGGATTTTGCAGGGGCACACGCTGCAGCAGCCCAAGGCATGCGCCACACGGAAGACATAGAGCCGGCGGTTGCTGAGGGACCAAAGGTGGCCATCTTGCCTCATTCCGATGGCCCGAGGGGGTTTCAGATCTGACGGCGTTTTCAGGGCCCGCCACACCTCCCATGAACAAAGGCTCTGGCTGCGCGGACTTTGAGAAGGCCGAACGGGTGTGCAAATCAGTCCAGCCAGGGAACCCCCGGTACTTGATAGCTACCCCCGATGTTCAACCAGAGTCTGCCGGGACTGCGGCAAATCAAAAGCGCCGCTTGATCTTTCCGCGGTTTTTTGCCATAAACAGTATGAGCTGTTGACACTTGCCGTGAACGGCGAATTAAGCAATGACCGGTCCTGCCTCCACATTGAATTGGATGTTCAGTCCGAAGATTCTGAAGTAATGGTTGGTAAATGGGTACGCTTCTTTTGGAGGGTGCCACTTGGTTGGCGGTTTTGAAAGGAAGCCAACAGAACAAACATTACTTGCAATGAATCCAGCAACACCGGCCGATCCCTTCCAACTTTCTAATTGACACGGAGTCGACCCCCTTGCACGCAATTCCGTCGCAATACCTGGTGAAGTCCAGGATATGCCCTATGAGCAAACGGATGGACCAATCGAGGGGTGGCTGCTGTGTGAGCATGATGTGGTTCATTGGGCAGAGGTTAGCAACATGGCTGGGTGAAGCATGAAAATCCGTGCTCTGTGTATGAGGGAGAAACACGTGGCAATGCCATCCCCTCGCGCTCCCTCTAGGTGACAACCCGCCCCAAATTTTGTGATTGGGGGGGGCCGATCCAGCCGGCTGCCTCTAAAAGGTTCCTTTTGGAGAGAGGGAGTCTGGGCGTTGAAGAGAAGAGGGGCATTGATAAACTCAAACATTCGCCCCTTGTCCTTTCTAGTCTATGGTGATGTTCTTCTCCAAAGGTCCGGACAGTTGAAGAAAAGACACATCCACAAACAAACCAAACCAAAGCAACAAATAAGCCATGGCCATGGATCTAGAAATTGATTCCCCCTTTCTTTTCCACCATCGTTCTTTTCAAAACCAGCTGTTTTCCCGGGGTTTTGGTGGCTTTCTAGAAGGATCCCTGGAAAGAATGGGGCAGCAACCCTTAGAATGGAGTAAACAAAAACCGGGGTGCCGCCTGGGTGCCACAGGATCTCCAGGGGCGCTTCCTTGAAGTGCTCTGCCGACAGCCTGCCATCGGCGAATTGGGCGATGACCTCATCCAGGCGCCGACCGTCTTGGAACTCCTGCGGGGCTTTGAGTGACCCACCCCCCCCCCCCCCCTCGGGGTTCGGGGCGGGTTGGGGGGGTTGGGAGTGGTTGCGGGGCTGGGGGGTTGGAGGGGTTGGGGGGGTTGGGGGGGTTGAGGGGTCGGGGGGTTGGGGGGTTGGGGGTGATGGGTCAAAACTCAACCAGAACCA